CCGAACACAATATTATATGCAGGAAAATATGTGTTAATGCTAGCGTTTGTATTGCACATATTCATATTTTGTGATCCATTCGGACAAAATCTGTCCGAACTGGTCCGATCTTGTCCTAGCAATTTTGTATACATCGATTGGCTGAAATGTTCTCGAAAAACAACATAATGCAAGTATAATTGGCTGGTAATCATGTCCCCGGGTCGGATTGGTTATAATTCCGGATACAATGCACAAGTATGTCCGCAAAGTGATCATATTCACCCATATGGTTCAAGCACGCTGTTGCTCGCTCCACGCAGATTCAACTGTAAATGAAATCACAATTGATCGAGATAAATAGAAAATACAAGCGCCTTTTTAGGGTCTCAAACAAGTCCCAGTCGTGTGGTGAAAGTGTCTCCACTGAACCCTTTCGACACGTCGAATTCGTACAATAAAAACAGTCGAATTGCACAATTCTCAAATTTCAAAAACCTGCCCAATTTCACCCTATTACCGTATATATTGTACTCTGACATGAACGTAGTAACGTAAACAATCAATTTAAGACGCATCTGAGGAAGGCGGCTGGGGAGAACTTCCAAAGCTCCCCGCGCATACAATATTTTCGACCTCTGAAACTTGGAGATTGTAGCTGAATTAATGGGGAACAACCTCATATCAATTATAGTGGGTTTCGATGTATTTCCAATGACTAAATCAACAAAAACCAAGCAAGTTTGATCTCATTTTAACAATCAATTTAGGACGCATATTTATATCTTGAATAAGGTATACCACTTTGCATATAAATTGTGTGGTTAGGTTTTTTCGCGTCGTTTCATTGGCTCAAGGAAATTTCACGTCTTTTCATTGGCTCATGTACATTTTGTCTTAAATTGATTGAAGCTCTTAAATCGATTGTTTACGTTACAGTACTCCCGAGTAATATATACTGTGACAATACAGACGAAAAGTTACAAACGCACGCACACTGGCTCTTATTCTCGACACCAGCCTCAGAAACCAACCATGCCTGATGAGCCAACCCAACCAAGTGACTGACGTCGACCGCGCCATCGCGTATGTGAAGTGCGCGCGGACACGGTACGTGACAAAAATCGAGATCCTCGACATGATCATGGTCAACGCCGCGCTGCGCCAAGACGATAGAATCGCGTCCAGCCGCAGCTTGCCAAAGAGCGATTGAACTATATTCGCATGGATTCACGACACCAAGTCGCAGAATCGCCTGGATAAAAGTAGTTCAGGGCAAAGCATGCCAACAAGTCAGTGAATGAACTACTAGCAGGGAATATCGCTTTGAAAGCCGCATCAGTCGGATCACTGCAGTACCTGGTTCGAGGTACTCGTCCAGATATCGGTAACGCCGTTCGAGAACTAAGTAAGTTTCTCTCGTGTTACAATGAGACTCATTATTATGATGCACTGAGAGTGCTGAAATACTTGAAGGGAACATCTAAACATGGACTATATCTTGACGGGGAGTGCAAAGATATATTTTATGACGTGTACACTGATGCATCCTTTGCGAGCCAAATAAAGGATCGGAAAAGTATTACTGGATATTTGATCCGAATGGCTGGAATATGCATATCATGGGCAAGCTGCAAACTAGTGTGTGTGTCGTTATCAACTGTTCAAGCAGAGTTGATAGCCCTAAGTGAAGGAGTGAAAGAGT